ATAAAATGGTGGAGACAAGTGGAGCACCAGGACTCTTCTCTGTCTGCTTTCTGACCATGGACACCATGTAACCAGCTGCCCTATGCTCCTCCCACCAGAGCCAAAGCTGCTATCACTGCCGTGCCTTCCTACCATGATGAAACAAGCTTCGAAGTATGAGTCAAACAAACCAACCAACACAATGGGGTGGAGGGAGCTCTCAGGGATTATGTATTGAAGACATGAGCATAGGTATGCCAAGGACCCCAAGGCTCCTGGTCCATGTGCAGATGTTGACAGTGAGCACTAAATGTGACACAGCCTGAGAAGGCTCCCCTAAGAGATCCCCTACCAAGATTATCTAAACTTGATTCCTTGTTCAGCTGTATACAAGAACCCCACCTCCTCCTTCAGCCATACACAAGAAACCTGCCTCTTTCACTCAGACGTATAAAATAAACACGCTAAATTTCCTCCTCTTCATCAAAATGCAGTCCACCTTATCCCAACTGTATTCTGTGTATGTCTGATGTTTTCTTCATTCCTCACAGTCCCTGAGAGGTGAAGGTTAAGATAAACTTCTTTCCTTACGCTGTTCTTATCAGGTATTCTACAACAGTAATGAGAAAAATCTAGCACAACCCAAACGGCATTCATTTGGATGAGTTACAAATATTAAGTATTTACCATTTCAAGATTTTGTCACACTAGAACATACAAAAACACCATCAGTGTGGTGGCACCATAAATGTGGTATCTGGAAATTCTCTATAGACTCTAAGAAAAACAAAAGAAAACAGACATCAATGTGATAGCACAGCTACAAAAACTCCCTGGAGCAAGTTTTAGGAGCCCTTAGACTGCATTTTAAAATGGGGTTGTCTGTACCTAAGCCTTTATTACTACCCATGCCAGAGAATTCTAGGTCTTTACCTCTAGTCTTCTGCTACCTGCAGTACCATCTCACTTATCCATCTCAGAAAGACAAATTCAAGACTGTACAGAATTCAACTTACTACCATTTATTTCACTCTCCTTCTGATTCGTCTATCTCAAAGACAAACTCATTTAAATCATCTAGGCTCTTTCCCATTCCTTCTTTTTCTCAATATCATCAAATTCTATTAATTCTTTTTAAATCTAGTGGGATGCAAGGGCTTTTTAAAAAATGCTGCAGAGCCCTAAGCACCTAGGAATTCACTGCACATTAAAGTTTGTGAAGCATGCCCTAGGTGGTGACAGTCATAGTAACTTCTCAGTAAACTCTAAGATTTGGGGGGTGGGGGAGGGAGGAGAGCAGAGTCTGAAAGTCAACACTAAGAACAGTGTAATTAGAGCCCTCAGGGACTGGCATTTTATAAAGAAGGCAGTATGGCCTCACAAAGTCATCTCCTTAACTCCAGTCTCATCTCCCTCAAATTCTATCCTCTACTCTGGGACCAGTGGGAGCCTTCTATACTTCTATTGTTTGTTTGTTTGTTTCCCCCACTTCAAGGTTCTCCCATCACCTTAACTCCAAATCCCTCACCATGAAATTCAAGGGCCTTTAATAAAATGTGGTCCCCATTTCACATTCCGTATCACAAGTTTGCAAGTCACTGAGATCTGTTAGGTTGCTTGGTAAAATGTCTTTGGTGGTCTGACGTGCCCTAGGCCTGAAAACCACCGCTGTATCTTCATAACCAAACTGGTCCTGCTTCCACACAGAAGCACAGACACCACAATCCCTCAGCCTGGTGCCTCCTCACTGTCTTATCCTCTGGGATGCTAATGCACCTCGTCTCTTTCTGTCTACCTTCCCTCACAGGCACACAGAACTGAAGGCCTCTTACTCTTGGCTCTCATAGTACCTTGCCCTCACACTGTTCACAAAACACTGTTTAATGTCTGTCTGCCTCCTCTCAAATGCTGATTTCACTTGAAGGTAGAGATGATATCCTATTTATTTTCATATTCTGTGGCTGGGCTAGATTAGCAGACAACTGATACACAATAAATACTCACATAGAATGATGTAAAAGAAAACAACCCAGAACCTTCATATCTAACAAGTACCTGCACTATCAAATGGAAAGCATCTGTGTGATACGTGTGTGGGTACTTGTGAATGAAGGTGCACAAGTGTGTAGAGGGGCCAGAAGTCCATGTCAGTTGTCTCCCTCATTCTCTACCATATTTTTTGAGCCAAGGTCTCTCACTAAATCTGGAGCTCACTGATTGGCTAGACTGGTTGGTCAACAAATCAAAGTGATCTGTCCCCTTGAGCACAAGGGTCAAAGGCATGCAGCCATGCACAGTTTTGTATGTGGGCGCTACGAATTCACACTCAGGTCCCTGTTTTTGCACAGCATACTTTACTGATTGAGACAACTTTCCAACCCCCACAAAAGGTTTTTATTCTGCAATCCTACAGATAAAAAAAAAGTCATATGTAAGAATACATAGATGAACTGAAATAAAAGCGTAAGTTTAAGTACATTCAATTAATCTAATACTGACTACGAGGTGTTTTTCAGTTTTAATAGTAAGAAGAGAGAAGAAAATACGATTCTGGGTGTATGAACAGAAGACAAGTGAGGAAAGAGTGAGTTAAAATCGAAGTACTAAAAGAGCAAACAGATAATGTTCAACTGATGAACCAAAACAGAATGTGCACACATTTTTCTATTCAAATTTGTAAGTAAATGTCAAGAGGAAAAGCTAAAATAACTGAGGTTAGGGTATGGTTACGTGAGAGGACAGCTAATTAAAAAACATAAACAAAACTTCCAGTACTACTTGCATGCAGAAACAAACACTATTATTTAAAATATATAGTAGGATGCTAGGATTGTAGCTCAGTAATAGAGTGTCAAGGCCTTGGTTACATTCCAAAAATAACAATCAGGAAACAAGATTACCAAAAAAGAGTAAGTGATGTCAGGAGATAAAGGAAACTACCTAAATTATACTATTCAATGTATGTAGTACAAAAAGTGCTTCCACCTCACGACCATTTAACACCCAACCCCTTAAATCATGACCTATGAACATTTGTATTGGGTATGTATAAAATTTCATCTCAAGGAAACTCATTAAGGTTCCTACTACAGAGATAAAACCAGAGACTCATTTTCCTTAGATAAGTAACTTCTGGCATGGAAATGTAGAACAAACAACAAAAGTCACTTCTTTGAATATTAGAGAACATGTACAATCTGAAAAAATGTCAAACTACTGTGCCACTGAGCCTAACTATCAATTGTAAAAATCCCATATACAGAACACAGGGCAGCAAAAGCCAAATGATTTTTAAAACTTTTATATTGCTGCCCAATGTCAAAATGTCTATACAAATAAATCTATGTACAAGTAATACAGCTACTTAAAATCCAACTAAAAATATAGTCATGGAATTCTTTAAAAGGAAATTTTATTGTAGATTAATTCCTCTAAAAGAATCCAAGTATTTGATCTATAACTTGTATTGAGAATATTGGTAACTAAGGAAACATGAAACACTTCATCCCCTATAAAGATCTTATATAGGGAACCTAACTTTTACTATGTTTTGCTACTATAAAAAAAAAAATATATATATATATATACACATATACACACACACAATATATATATATGCATATATATACAAATATATATATGGTTAACAGAAATGAAAAACACCTAGTTATTTTATTGCTCTTCATAATACAAGATTATGAAAGAACATGTAAAATTATTGAATATACTCATCTATGAAAAAATATCAAGAATATTCCAAAGTCCAAAAGAAATAAAGTAGAAATATTCCTGATAGGTTGTTTTGTTTTTTAACTCCTTGGAACAGAACTAACCTATTTTAAAGGTCTTAGTACATACGTGCTAATCTGAAAAACTAAACTGAGATAACTGATGCTACAGGGGCAACTAACGCTTACCTCAAGGGAACCTACTGCAGATAAAGTCCCGTCACTTGCACAGTCCTTTCAGCTGCCTGCCAGTTGTCTCTGTGGAAGGGAAAGCCTGATGAGTGAGAACCCTATGCCACACTCCTGTGGAGTGTAGGGTGCCTGTACAACTGCACAAAACTGCCTACCTACAGGTTCCTAGATACTCTCAATAACAAACAGCTACAAAGATGCCACCTTTGAGTTTCTCTCTCCATTGAACAAGGAAGCCAAATGCAGTAAGAATTCCTGAGTGTTAATGACCTACTGACAGAAAAAGACTACAAGAATCAAGTACAAATGAGTTACACTGACAGAAAAAACAGAAACATATACATGCCGCATACATACACACATAAACTGGTTAAAATTAATGGACAGAATTGTATAACCTGAGAGAAAGGCTAGACCCACAAAAAGTCATTGTATCAAAACATCAATACTAAACCCAAACACATTCGTGTCCACCATTTTCAAAAGACGCCATTGAGTATATCATGCACAGAATGGACCATACTGTGGACCTAAATGTCCACTTATAAATACCACGTACTTTCTTGGTGAGGTCAGTAAATGGGTGCTAGCAAAGGGGATTTATTGTATGTTTTAAAACTATGTAAAATGAAACCCATCAGCTTGATTTCACAAGAAACTCTATAAAGAAGAAAGGTATATTTTTATAACTAGGCAAGCATACAAACTCTTATAAAGATCAAACTAAGATGAGAACTACTAAAAATTTGAAAACTACGGAATGCAGCATATTTTAAAACCCACCTTCATCTTACAAAACCATGAAAGGCTGGTCTTCCATTGATAACACCTTTGTATTATTCATGTGCAAATTAGGCTACAGAATCAAAAAATTATTCTCTCTAATACCAAATATAATCTTCAATCTAAATTGTTGTGTTTCATCAAGGCTACCCCCACTCCCTACTATTGCCCAAGGGGATGAGGAACTACATGGAAAATTCTAAAAGAAAACATTAGCCTTCAATACCACGGTTGTTAAGGGGAAGGGAGGGGCACTCATTTAAAAGATGACTCCAGCTTTTACTTTCCCAGCACCACATTTAAAATAAAATTACTTACCTCCGACTCTTTGTCACTTAAAGATCCTAAGCTTCCAAAACTGTGATTAGAACTTTCATTATTTGTTGAGGCCTGTGAAAGATTTTTAAAGGTGAAAATTAGGAGTGATGTTAAAGAAATGTAAGGTATAAAACCAATCTTTATATATAAGAAAATCAAGTACAATTCCTTTAAGCAAGGAAACCAAGCAAGGTAAATACAACAAAATACCATGTTCTCAAAATTCTGTTGTTTCAGTATCTTACTTGTATTGGTGATTTTTTTTTTTTTTTAACAGTATCAATTCAAAAGAAAATGAACTGGGACATGGCTGGGATACAAAATCACTAAAGTTACCAGCTAATGGAAGGAAGCACCATTCGTGTGCCTCAGTCATAATGATCACATCCCAGGTCTCACACTTTCCTCATGGAAACAGACTGCCTTCTTTGTTCTGTTTTGACTTAAGAAACTCTTACCTACTTTGACAATCTTAACTGCTTTGCTCAAGTTACCCAATTTTCTGGACAATGTATTTTTAAGCAGTGATGGACAGACAGACACAAGCTTTCTGTCAGTAGGCTGGTATCTGCTTTGCTTCTGTAATCTTAGCATTTTGTGGACTTGTATCAGTGTCTTGGATCTATCCTTACAGGAATGTTTTGACCAGATGATGACAGGTTACTGCACAAATGCAAACCAACTGATAACCTCAGATGTCCCTCTCCTATGTAAGAGTAACTACAAATCTTACTGTTAAATTACAAACTGGCCTAATTACTTGTAAATAAATTTCTGGTGACAACTGTGATCCACTTCTTGTTATAACACTGTAAAGCTATCAACACAGAATGGCAGCTGAAATGGTTAAGATTCAAGGAACATTGGGACAAAGTTAAAATTGAGCAAATCTGTCAAACTAGAAACTCTGATTCTGGAGTAATGCAGGCAGTGGCAAAGTTTTTGACCATCTGCAAAACCCCATGAAGACATACACAAAACTAAACAGTTAAAAGAAACCTACAGACACATACAATAAAGCCAAGTGACAGGAATGTCTAAAACAGCAGGTGGGGCAAATGCACAAACAACCACCACAAGGCCTGTATGGAAAACAGCAAAAAGAGAAAGGCTGTCTAAAGAATGAAAACAGGGTATCACCAAACAGCAAAACCCATTCACTAAGTCAGCAAGACAATTTAAGGACAGAAGCTATAGCTGGGAGACTCTGCCCTTTGAAGCAGTCATTAAGTACACAGAGTCCATCCACAACTAAAAAATGTTGAGATGGTCATCTTAGATGAATCCTGGAAAAACCTGTCCATAAAAAGAAAGGAAGCACAAAAGTGTAGAGATTATTGGGTATGGAATTAAGAGGCGCACAGTAGGTACAATAGCAATAAAAGGAAACAAATATCCAGATAAAAAGACCAGAAGAGGGCTGGGGAGAGATGGTTCAGTAGGTAAGTGCTTGTTGTGCAAGAATGAGGACTGAATTCAATTCAGAAGTAGTAGCAGCATGCACTTGTAATCTCAACCCTGCTGAGGCAGTCAGGAGCATCCCTGGGGTTTCTGGCCAACCAATCTAGTCAAATGGCGGAGCTCCAGGTTCAGTGAGAGACCTGGTCTCAGAAAATAGATGGAGGACTAGAGAGACATGTGGTGATATTTTTTTCTAATAAATAAAGCTTGCCTGAAGATCAGAGTACGGAGCTAGCCACACTAGTTAGCCACAGACACCAGGCAGTGTTGGCTCAAATCTTTAATCCCAGCACTTGGGAGGCAGAGGCAGGTGGATCTCTGTGAGTTCAAGGCCACCCTGGGCTACACAAGATTATCTAGTCTGAAAGAGAAACAGAGCCAGATGGTGGTGGCTTGCACCTTTAATCCTAGTATTTGGGAGTCGCACATCTTTAATCCCAGCACTAGGGAGATAGAGATAGGATGATATGGCTGGGTGAAGAGAGGACTATAAGGTGGGAAGAGACAGGAGGCATGGCAGTCTGAAGATTCATAAGGACAAGCTCACCCCTTTGGTCTAAGGATTCAGTAGAGGTAAGAGGTCTCTCTTATGGCTGGCTCCTTTACTTCTGACCTTTCAGCATTTACCCCGATATCTGACTCTGGGTTTTTATTATTAAGACCTATTAGAACTCATGCTAAAGAGACAACTTAGCTGTTAAGAGCACTAGGTGCTCATCCAGAAGACCAGGTTTAATTCCCAGTACCCATACTGTAGCTCAGAACCATCTGTAACTCCAATTCTGGAGCATCTAACCCATTCTTCTGGTCTTTGCAAGGATGAGGCATGCAAGTGATGAGTAGACATACATGTGGGCAAAACACCCAAACACATAATATTAAAAATAAAAATGTTATGAAGTATATACTGATGGAAGAAGACACCAGGATTGATCTCTGGCCTCCAAAAACATACACACCAACACATGTGTGTAAACATACATAAATTTCTAAAGGCATAGCCTAGAAATCTCAGAAAGGAAAATGCCTCAGTTTTGAAGTGAACCCAAAACCAACAGCAAAGGGAACTCTGGCGAAAGCTATACTGAACCACCTTAGTATCCAGGCCATTGGATTTCTCAAAAAGCAAACAAAATGGGTCAATCTTATGGTGTTACTGAGAGGAAAACAGAGATGTAATAAGAGTCAGCCCTAATTAACAAAAGCACCAGAAACACCCACAAAATAGGTGATACTGTAACCCACTATGTCAAAATGAGACAGCATTACAAAAATGGTATTTATAATAAGAGAGAACACTATAATCAGACTTTGAAACATGAAAGGTGGCAGAACTAGGGAAGCTTCAAAAACAGTGTAAGGAACAAGCAATAAACATAGCAGAGGATGCTTTAAAAGAACCCTAAGGTCACAAGGACATTGTGAAATCCAAGGAATATAATTTTAAAAGACTTATATTTTAGATTTATTTGGGGTGCATGATCATGTCTCTCTGTCTGTTCACCATGTGCATTCCAGGGATTGAACTCAGGTTGCTGAGTTTGGCAACAAGCACCTTTACCCACTGAACCATCTCATGGGCTGAATAAAAAGAATTAGAAAGAAAGCAACTAGAGAAAGCTACAGAGAGAAGAAATTACTTAAAGACTACTGATAGGAAAAGATAACAAAAATTACAATTTAAGGAGTATTTCCTGAAAATGCCTCTGTGAGTTCCAGGACAACCAGGGCTACAGAGAAATCCTATCTCGAAAAACAAAACAAATAAACAAACAAAAATATTTGAATCAGTAAGAGTTCGTCCAGACAAGGACTGAAAATATAAAAAAAAGGAAAAGGAAAACTACCTTGGAAACTTGAAATGAAAATGGAAGTAGAAATAATAACAACAACAACAGCAGCAGCAGCAAAGACATCAAGAGCTCAAAGGGGCTGGAGAGGTGGCAGCTGGCTGCTCTCCCAGAGGCACCAGTTCCATTACCAGCACCCACGTGATAAATTACAACCACCTCTAACTCCAGTTCAGGGAATCTAACACACGCACATGCTACACTTACATATGAGCAAAATATCCATACACATAAAATAAATAATTTTTAAGAAGCTAAAGAAACCTCCAAGAGAGACCAGAACAGTCACAAGAAAACTAGACTGTGAAAGTTTCTGGTCCAAATAATGACACGGGGATGTAGAAGGAGGAAAGGAAGGATGACGGTGGTGGTGAGGAGAAAGGAAGAATAGTGATGATGATGATGACTATATGATGAGCCAAACTTTCCTAGAACTGGAAAGCATGAATTTTAAATTAGAAAGAAGGGCTGAAGAGATGGCTCAGTGGCACACACTGGTCTTGCAGAGGATCTGAGTTTAGTTTCCAGCACACGTCAGGTACCTCAAAACCTCCTCTAACTCCAGCTCCAGGAGATCTGGTGCCCTCTTTTGGCCTCTGTAAGTACCTGTATTAATATGCATATACCCATACACGTAGACACAATTAAAGACAAAATTAATCTTTTTTTCTTAAGTAAAAAAATAAACCTTTAGATTGAAAGGATGCTTCTGCTGAGCCAAGGAGGCTCAAGGCACATGTAATGAAGATTAAATGCTAGTGATAAAGACAAGATCCTAAAATGCTTCAAGAGAAGCAATTCATTCGCAAGGATCAGGAATCAGAATGATACCAGAGTGACTAGCAGTAACACAGAAAACTAAAAGGCAATGGAACAATGCTTCAAAAATTTGAGAAAATGATTTCCAATCTAGAATTTCCAATTTTACCCCTAGATAAATCAACAAAAAATTACAAATAAGAAAATATGCAGTCTCAAAAAATTCACCACATTCCTTTCCAAAGAAGTGACTGGAGAATGTGTCCTACCAAAACAAAGAAATCACCCAAGAGATGGAAGATATGGGATACAGGGAAAATACAAATCAGATGGAGATGAATACTCAGGGCTAGAAGAGCAATTCTAGGACAAGACACATCCCAGAGGAGCAGAGCAAACAGCCTCAGTTAGAAAACATGAATGCAGTACTTCAGGGAAGAGGTTAAAAGAACAAGGAAAAAGAGGGGAAGAATAATTAGCATCTTAAAATAATACCTGCACCTCTCTACTGATGGTTGGTTAGTTACACTAATCCAACAAATAACTGTTAAGTGCGGAGAAAACAAAAAGCTTTACAAAGGAAATGTAATAATGGAATCATTAAGTTCAGCTATGAATAAATTTACAGTAAAAATGTAAGCATTGAAATACTAACTTTGAAGTACTAAATACTATCAAAATTAAATGAGGCAGGGCCATATACTTCTGTAAAGGTAGACTGGATGATTTAATAGTTAGCTCCTTGCCTTCTATAATATGGAGTCATTATGTTTTGTTAATTTCTTTCTACTATTGTGTTGGCATCACACTGTCTTATTTACCATATACTCCCCCAGCTCTGTACTGTCCTTAAGTACTATCTTGGTAAGTCACTTAGTCCCACCTGGCCATGAATTCATAAGTCTGTTCTCCTACCTTGGCATCTTGACCTTATATTTAAATACAAAATTTGGAAGTTTATTAAATTTTTACCTTCACCCAAACACTGCAACTTTTAACTGA